GGGTACATGAGCGGCGACGATGGCGCCAGGGCCTCCAGGGCCTCGTCGTCCTCTAACTCCGCCGCCTCCCCGAGCAGGGGTCTCCCGCCCCCGCGGAAATCGGCCCACGCCTCATAGTCGTCGCTGGCGTGCGAGGCTGGGCTGGCGGCCCACTTGGCGGCGGCAGGCAGGGGCCCCGGGGCAGACGCGCCCGGGGGGCTGTCGTCCGGGCACCGATCGGGTACCTGCAGCTGCTTCTTCTTGCTCGCCTTGCCCTTGATGCGTAGGAACTTGGCCCCGTTGTCCATGGACACGGCCCTGCGCCGCGGGGTCTTGCCCGTCTTCCCGCCCTCAGGGTTCAGCATCCACCAGGAACTCTTGCCGGTGCCCTCGTTCTGCACGCGGATGAAACGCGTGTGCAGCGACAGGTTGTGCCGGATGGAGTTCTGTGGCCAGAGACAGGGACACGGGTGGAGGAGGACGAGGTTGGATAACGTGATGGGAGGAGGAAACAAAAAACAAAAACAGGAGAGAGAGAAAAGCCAGAAGGGGACGGGAAAGAAATAGGGAAGACAGAGGGAGGGAGTTGGGAGAAGAGGGGTTTGCAGGTGTAAGTACCAAGTTGGACAAATGTTGAATACCCACCCATCCTTTCCCACAAACCGCTTCTGCGCACTCCCACCCGACCCCACCCTGCCCTCAGGGCGGGGCTGGGGCTTTTGGCCCTCCTCCCCCCCAACCCCACTCCCTAGGGCCTCTGATCCTGCAGGGGGGAGCGGTGACAGGAGGCCGGACCCCTTCTCCCCAATTCAGCCAAGCCCTTCGCAGGGCTAGCCAGGCTGCCACCCTGCCCCCGCCCCAGCAGATTATGTAAGGGCTCATGCCGCCGCGGCTCATTTGTCCGCCCCCCTCCCTCCCCAGCCTGGCATGGCGCCAGGAGCCCGAAAACCCAGGGCTCCAGAAATCAATCTCGCGGTGACTGATTAAGCCCTGTTTAGAACTAATTGCTCTTTCGTGTGTGGGGAGAATAAATTACCTGCTTTAATTTCGTGTCTTTAAAATGCAACTGCAGGTAGAGAAGACTGTTAACCCTTTGCTGGGAGGGTCTGGCCAGGGAAAGGAGCTAGGTTGGGAGACCCCAAGGTGGGTATAGAGGTGAGACTATGGAGATTCACCTTTATCTTCTCTGAGCTCCTGCAAACTCCAAAGAGGCCTTGGATATTAAGAAGCCCTTCCAAGGGCCACCTCTGGCCAAGGAGACCTTAGCCAGCTCCTACTGTGATGTCTAGCAAGCCCAGCTCTCCAGCCATCCCTTCCTACCCACTGGCACAGATCTGTCCTCAAAATGAGGCCTTTACAGTCCCTGCACACTCCCCATCTCCAGACAGGTAGACCTAGGCTCAGAGATGCCAAAGTATTTTGCCTAAGGCTCCACTTCCTTTTTTCTGGGGGGGAGGGGATGTGGGGTCTTTTGTGGGGCTTGAACTCTGGGCCTGAGCGCTGTTCCTGAGCTCTTCAGCTCAAAGCTAGCTCTCTACCACTGGAGCCACAGCACCACTTCCGGTTTTCTGGTGGTTAACTGAAGAGAAGAATCTCACAGACTTTCCTGCCTAGGCTGGCTTTGAACCACAATCCTCAGATCTCAACCTCCTGAGTAGCTAGGATTACAGGCGTGAGCCACTGGAGCCCGCCTTACACATCCCTTTCTGCAGTTCCTAGGCACCTTCACTTTTGCCACCCTGCCTGTATCTTTATCTTAGTTCCTGCACTGCTTTGACTAGGCCTATTGTGGGGACAGAGGAACCTAGAGTTGAACTTGGGCTGGACCTCCCTCTCACCTGGTGGCCTTTACCTCCCTGCTTAGATATTTCTTTGCAAACAACATGGTTTGTCTATCAGAGGACTGGGCAGGATGCCCAGGTCTTTGGCCACCTACCTGTGTGACCATGGTTGTGTATCAATCTCTGAGCTACTCTGAAAAAATGGGCTGGAGCTGTTAGCATTTTCTATGAGCAAACTGTAGTTCAGTGTTGGTGAGCACTCCAGGGGCTTGTAAACGGTTGTTGAGCCAGAAGACCTTACTTCCTAGGTCACTCTACAGGCCTCCTGTCATCATCTTCTTCTTAACATCATGCCTGAGGACAGCTGTCCTGAGCATCAACCACTAAGGGTGAGCTAGTATCACCCATTTAATCCACCAAACTCAGGCATGATGTAACTTGCCTACAGTCCCACAACTAAGCAGTGATGCCAGGCACCATCTAGTTTTGCCCATTCATGGATTTGCTCTTAAAGCTTCCAGTCTACCCAGACACACCCTAACTTCTCTCCTGCCTCCTCTCCACCCACCTCCAGAGGTCCTTCCTGCTTTCCAGGATACCCTCCACTGTTAACTAGCCCCAATTCCAAGTCCTGAGTCGACCCTCAAGGCACCTGGCTCACCGTCTCTGGCACTTGTGACTTGGAAGGCAACAGCTGGGACTTGCCAGCCTTGTCCTGCCTTAGCCTCTCTTGGGGCCCTGTGAGGAGGGAAGCTTGACCCCCAGGGAGTGATTCCCTCAGGTAGATACCCCCTTCCCGTTCCGCCCCTGCACCTGGCTCCCCAGCCCCTCCCCACACCTGTGCTCAGGTCCTCTGAGGCCTCAGGTCTCTTCCCCCACAGGACTCTCTGGATTTCCAGAGGCTCCACCTCCCACCTCTCCAGTCCACCAGCTGGAGGTCCTTCAGGTCACACCTCTTTGTTAGTGTTACTATGTGCCAGCTTGGCCTAGAGTGCTTTTGGGGAGGAGAAAGGGTGCTATAGCAGGTACCAGCACTTAATCAACACTAGCCTATTCATCCCTGGGCACTCTAGTTATCTCATGTAATCATTATGTCAGACTCTAGAGAGTCAGGGATTGGGATCTCTAGCTCAAGATGAGGAGAGAGAGGCTCAGAGACTGAGTTGCCAAGATCACACAGCTTGTTGGGCACCAAGCCAAGTACTGATTTCAGGTTAATTTTATGCTGAATTTAAAGGATGTTACATTCTGTCAGAGGGAAGGGAAGAGTATCAGTGAATTCCCAGAGATTTTTGGAAGTCAGAATTCATGTTTTCTTCAAACTTTTCTTGTACAATATTGCTAGAAGCCAGTAGGGTAAGATAACTGGGGACAACATTGCAAGATTAACATTTCTAAGTCCTAGTGCTTGTTTCCTTCTTTAGAATTCAAGGGAATTTTGCATGCACTTCATAATATACCTACTTTGTTTGACAAATACATTTTTAAAGAAGTTTCATATTACTCCAGATATGCTTTCAGGTCCATGAAAGTTTGCTTTCTCCTCCCCTGCTCCCCTAACCGAATCAGGTGCCTGAGAACTCAACCCCCAGCCTGACGCCTTGGCTTGTTCAACTCAGGAAAAAGAAAAGACTTGCCCAAGGTGGCCCCAGGAACTGTGACACAGAAAGGATGTGAGCCCAGGCCTTGGGGGGGGGGTGAGGGAGGAAAGGGCCCCAGCAAGGTACTCTTCCTACTCCACCAATCCTGACCTTAGAGCACATCCCTCCTCCCTCCTCTTCAGCACTCAGTTGTTCTCCCCAGAAAGTGATGACATGGGCCAGGTGTACTCCAGGAACCTTTTCAGTTTGACACTGAAAATTCTTACATCATCCAGTCTAGAGGTTCTCCCTCTCCTCTCTCCGTCTCTCTCCATCTCTCTCTCTCTCTCTCTCTCTCTCTCTCTCTCTCAGCTGAAGTGTTACACATTTAAGCCCCTGAGGTGTAAATAGAAATACGCAGGGTCCAGCCTTTTTAGCACTCTCCCTTTCAAAAACCATGGACTTGGGCAGGAACAGATTGTGCAGGCCATTTAGGTGAGTGGCAGAACCAAGTAGGTTGACAAGCCTTGCCCAGGGTCTTGCAGGATGAAGGGAGGTGGCTCAGAGCTGAGTGAGGAGCAAGGCCTAACAGCTCCTCAGCTGGGCTCTATACCAGGCATCACCAGGGCTGTGCCCCCTGAGATAAGTGCGGGCTATGCAGCCCAGCCACCTGGTACTAATCAGAGCTCCTCACCAGGCTCCAACGGCAAGCACTAATCACAACTCTCACTTAGCCACAAGGCCTCCTGGGAGGCCAGAGGCATGGAGGAGGTAAGGGAGGTAGAGGAGGGAGACACCTCCTCTGCCAGGCAGCAGTAACCAGGCTCCCTCTTAGAGTCACCTAGCAACCCACCACCACAGCCACAGCCCTGACATGCCCAAGCTCCCCTGGTGCCCAGACCTGGGCTTGGCTTCTGAAGCCTCCCAGACCTACACCAAGGCCTGGTGCATGCTCCTTTAGGAGATAGGAACTCTCTATTGAGGCTCCAGGGAGACCTCTGGGGGCAGAGGAAAAGGACAGCGATTCCATCTCATGCCCACCCCATTCTCCTTTAGAAGTTGGGCAGGAAGAATAGCCTTCACTCCTCAGGACCCACCCACCAGGGAGAGAAGGCTGGCAAGGCAGACACAGGGCAAAGTGCATAGGCTCTGGTATTGGATCTGGATGCCAGTTTCTGCCCCAACACTCATAGTATGCCCTGGGGCAAGGTACTCAAAAGCTCCAGGTCCTCTATAGACCGTCTACCCTCACTTTCTACAGCCACATGGCAGAGCCAGCCTGGGTCTTCAAAAAACCTGGGATCAAAAACAAAAAACAAAAAACCTGGATCTCATCCAATCCTCACCAGATCCCAGATGAATGAAGGCCCTGCCACGGCCCACAGACCCTCCAAGATCTGTCAGACATCCTTCCTGCTTCATATTCCTTCTTGTCCCTCCAACTTGCCAAGTAGGACCCCTTCCCTCAAATGCCCACAGAGACCTCCTCTCTTTGTTCAAATGGTCTTTTTTTTGGTCCTGTCGTGGGGCCTGAACTCTGGGCCTGGGCACTGTCCCTCAGCTCTTCAACTCAAGGCTAGCGCTCTACCACTTGAGCCACAGCACCACTTCCGGCTTTTTTCTTTTTGCTTATGTGGTGCTGAAGAATCGAACCCAGGGCCTCATACATGCAAGGCAAGTGCTCTACCACTGAGCCACCTTCCCAGCCCACAAACGGGAATTTTTGCAATAAGGCCCATCCTAGCCACTCTTTAAAAAAAATGTTTCTCTTCCCTGACATTTCTTGACCACTCCCTTAGAAAATGATCACTTTCTAAATTAATACAGGTTGAGTATTTCTAACCCCCAAACCCAAAATGTGATGTGCCCCCAAATCTGAATCTTTCTGAGTTTCATGGTAGTAAGTTTTGGATGCTCAACTGGTGAGGTCTATACAAATATTCCAAAGTTCTAGACTCTGAAACACTTCTAGCCCAAGCATTTCAGATAAGGGCTACAACCTATGTACTACTTATTGTCTGCTTTAGCCATTTTCTGACTGTCATATGAAAAATAACTCTCATGAGGATAATGACTTTACCTAAT